ATAAAAAAATCCCGGACATTAAAATTGGAGAACACCAGGAAGGAACAAATCGTCAAACCACCAAGCATATATTACACTTCCAAATATTTACATCATCCGCCAATACAAACCACAAAATAATTTATAAGCACACCGAACTATAAACTCCAAACCACCAAAATATCAAGATCAGCTCTCTAGGTCAGCACTATCCAAAAATGGGGCGCATCCTCCTCCCAGAACTATCCCCTACGCCCTCTCGAAGGCGTCCACTCTGACTCACTGTCCTCGGCATCACCACCTGAATCCTCCGCAGCTGTCTGCTCACCCGACGACTCCGAGTCGACCTCAATCTCGACATTCAGGTGGGGGCTCTGAAATGGTTTGGTTGAAACAACCATGAGATCACATCTCAATAAGTCACAACCTAAGCCCCACCTAGGCTATCACGTAATTCCAGACACATCCAAACGCGCAACCAAACAACCACACAACCAGCAATCAAATATTCACACATACCTGGACTCTCTGCATACGCACCATGCACGTTAGCCCACAATCCCAACATACAATTCTTGCACACATGCCATCACACACTTTCCACATATCAATACACACGCCAATCATACCACAGCAGTACATCACAGCCGCGCGCGTGCCTCGATTATAAAGCAAAACCTACTTGGGCACGTCCCATACCATGCCTAGCAGATTTTACCCCATAATCGCGCACTGCATTACGCGATACAAACACACTCGCACACCAACTCACACCACGCGTCACTTTCTCAAACCTCGCACCTCAAGCCAATTCCCGCTCATTCTCAACCTTTCCACCACTACCGCGCCCGCGTAAAATGCATCAGGCCAACGGTCTTCTGACCTCGTCAGGCATCGACACCCCGTCGGGCCGGGCATCGTCACCTCGTCAGGGACGGCATCGTCCCGCATAAACGAACACGCCTCAGGACGGAATCCTACACACACTTTCCTTCTATCGCGCCCGCGTAAAACGCATCAGGCCAACGGTCTTCTGACCACGTCAGGCATCGTCACCCCGTCGGGCCGGGCATCGTCATCTCGTCAGGGACGGCATCGTCCCGCGTAAACGTACACGCCTCAGGACGGACCTCACCCTGCATAAACGTACACGCCTCAGGGTCTCACCTTTCAAACCAATCCTACATTCCAGTACCTTCATTCCACTCAAACCACATTTGTCACACGGCCACACCTACACACTGCCAAACACGCACACCTCACACGCATTTCACAATTTCACATTCTCGTCACACGAACACGCCACCCAATCACACATTCTTGGCACGCGAATACAATACGCAAATGCACTATCACACCACCACATCTCACGGCCAAACACACACGGCATATCACCAATCCACATTCAAACACACATTCAGGCTCAATTCCCGCCACAAGGGCAGCAACCATTCAACCTCGACACCCCCACCATTCCGCTAATAAAAACGAACATCCAAAGAATCGGGGTAAAATTGGGCAGTTTATACAGTGACCGAAATCCCATCAAAATAAATAGTAAACGAACTCCAAAAATTCTTAATTTTGGATATGTCACAAAACACATCCCAATAAACATTTCTTATGAAGAACACGAAATCCGGTTCAAACTGCAACCATGCCTTTTTGTCCCTTGAAATCAGACCAAAATCAGTTTGCTCCAACAGAATATTTTGTCCTCAAAATACATTTATTTCAACACCCAAATCACCTTGAAAAGCTTTTAAATTTTTATATGTTATAGGCACGAATGTCCCCAACAACTTTTGTGAAGGAAGTATTTTGAAAATAGGCCTGGAAAAATTTATAAAAATTCGAACAGACCCGAAGGCGGGTGAACAGTAAATCGGGCAGTTTTATTTCGGTCCAAAGATGGACTTCCGAATGGCATCAAATGATTTCCAAAAATTCCCAAATTAATATATGTTATACTTCAAAATGTTGGAAACAACTTTCATGAAGAAAACTTCCTCAAATTCGACCCTCAAAATTTTCTACAAAAATAGAAAACCGGGTGGGTACAGTAACCGCGAATCCGCGATTCACCCCGAACCTCACGGATTCAAGCCCGAATCGATTTCTACCGAATTCCAACAGCCAAAACTCATTTCCCGACATCTAATCCAACCCGCAACAACCACTAACAGTCATACTCAGCCACCAATAGCCATGATTAACCACCAATAATCATGATCAATACCTTAATCACCCTCTAAATCCTCTAAATCATACCCAAACGAGTCCGAAAATACCCGACGTCCTGAATAGGGATTAGATCGCGACTTACCGGACTCTAGACTAACTCGGCTAGAGCGGGAAGGTGGAACGGCTGGCCGGCGTGGCTCCGGCGAAACTCCGGCGAGAGAGAAAATGAAGGAAAATGGAGAGAAAGTGGAGAGAAAAGGTGGGAAAATGGGGAGAAAATTTCTGAAGAGGGCTGGTCTGCACGTGAGAGTGAGTGAGGAGAGAGAGAGATCAGCCAACTTGGTCAAATAATTTAATTAGGGGTGCCATGTGTCAAGCTTAGGTAAAAAGGACTAAAATGCCCCTAATTAAATGGTTCATATTCATTCTTATCTAAAAAGAGAGGGGCAAAAGGGTCAATGGTCCCCAAGGATGCAGCTGATATTTATCCATAATTATCCCAATTTATCCAAAAAAAATTCGGACCCAAAAATTAGCCCAGGGGCAAAATGGTAATTTTCCGGTCCCGGGGCGAAATTCCAATTTTCGCACATACGCGTTCCATATGTGCGTGGCCAACATAATGTGGTGTCGGAATCGCGAAATTCACTTTCTAAGCCCTCGAAAATCAACTGCGAAGTTCCGGGAATAAAATAATATTATTTTTCCAATTTTTGTCGAAATTCCAATTTTTGGCCAAAACCACTCTTAATGTGCGTGGCCACCCCAAAATGACCTTGGCCGCGAAAAATAACCTCAAACGGCCTCCGAATCCAGCCTCGGTGCCCACAGGGGCAAAACTGTAATTTCTGAGTTCTGGGTCGAAATTCCATTTTTCGACCGTACTTACCCCAAACATCATTGGCCACACTAAAATGACGTCATCCTCGTAAAAATAGTCGTGCACGACCTCAAAAATCGACATCCAAGTCCAGATCCAATTTCGCGATCAAAATTGCCCAATCTCAATTTTAGGGTCTCTCACTAACGGGCGGCTGTTTAGGGATTACGCGTATCGACCTATGGTTATTCGAGTCATGGCGACCTCGATCGTCACCGAAGGTCGACTCATGATCGAGTTCTTAGGTCCACGTACATTTCCCTAGGTAGCCATTCCCTAAAGGTTAGTATCCCGAGAATGATCAGTTCCGGGTGAGACTTACTAAAATGAAATGAGAAATAACATCTATTTCATTGATTCCGGAAATAGGTCGAAATTCAGGATGTTACATTACAAACATAAGTCCAAATACTCATCTCACATTCGTATCGAAGATATAAGAAAGAATAGCTTGTCACTATGAATATACCAATGATGTACTCTTTTTTTTTTTATAAGCCACTATTTACAAGGAGAAGAATAATATAAAAATAAGTTACCGATGATGTACTGAGATCATTGTTGAGTCGAAGGATCTTGGCAGAGCAATGCACGACACTGGGCATTTTCGACACGTAATCAAGTCCCTCTTCCGTCAATTTATCCGTGGTTAGGAAGTAACTGGTCAACAGCATAACCAGCCCTCCGGCTGAATTCACCGCAACGTCCACGTACTCCTTCAGTGTCGGTTTAGTGCCCTTGTTGTACCAATGGACCTCCTTTATGTACGCCTTGCATTCATTGGCCCACTATAGGATTTGAATTCGAAGAGTGGGTCAATGACCAAGTCGAGGGACGTTCTTTTCTCCTACTTTTACGGATTCTCAAATGTTTAAATAGAAATCATAATGAAAGTTAGAAGTGGAAAAAGGGAAAATTGTCCAAAAACTTTTAAACCTATTATACGACGGCCAATTTAGTCTTAACTCATTCGATTGTGCCAATTTAGTCATAAACATTTTTACAATTTGCCAATTTAGTCATAAACCTTTCAACTATGCCAACTTAGTCATAAACCTTTTGACGATTTATTAATTTAGTCATTCGGGTCAATTTTGACCGGAAATCATTGACGTGGAGGTCTAGTCAAGGCCAATCATCCTACGTGAAATAACCAGTGTTGGACGTGGACAATTTTTGTAATTTTTTGAAATTTGAAAAAATTTTCTAGGCCAACGTCGGCCGTCCGCTGGCCGTGTCATGTAGGACAACCAGCGTTCTTGTCAACGATTTTCAGCTAAAATTGGCCGAAAGGACTGAATTGGCAAATCGTCAAAAGATTTAGAAATAAATTGACAAATCTTCAAAAGGTTTTAGACTAAATTGACACAATTGAAAGGTTTGGGACTAAATTGGCAAATTGCCAAAAGGTTTATGACTAAATTGGTACAATTGAAAGGTTTATGACTGAATTGGCCGCTGTACAATAGGTTTAGGACTTTTTGGACAATTATCCCATAGAAAAATGAATTGCCCTACACGGGCTAGAAATTATTAGGTGAACGATTTATCAAGTCGAGATTACCACTTTCCGCAGGTAAGGGATGGGGTTGATTCCTTGCTCTCTCATTGTCCAATACCCAATTTCGTTGGTGGTGTTGTACAAGAGCATGAAACTATCTCTTATTATTGGAGGAAGTTTATCGATGTCTGTGATGTCCCACCTAGATAAGTTATCACAATTTCAGCAATCTTATGAATTTTACAGTCACTGAATACGCTTTTTAGCAATAATAATGAAAGTTAGTGCCTACCGTTACGTTATTAGCCCAAACCAATCAATTACATAGAAGAAAAAAAAGCTAACATAAACCATGATAGGTCCAAAACACATTGAAGAATTTATTTTATAATATATAGCATTTACTATTTTTTCCATAGCGTTCATAGACTAATTAATTCCGTCTTTTTTCTTGGCAATAATAGTTACAAGGGAAAATGATGATGGTTCTAATACTACGCAGACCTGACAATGAAATCTGTTAAGAGCTCAAGCTCTTCCGGCATCCCATATACGTCATAAACATCATCGATAAGTGTCACCATACAAGCGATCTTCGCATTCATTTCTCTGAAAGCTGTATATTGAGGTTCGAAAACCATTAGAATGCTCCAGAAATAGCATTCCACTAGCCTGTCCCTAAAGAAGGTCGTGTTGGTCGCCCCAAGTTCATCCCACCACCTGAAAAATTTGTCATGTGATGACTAAGTCAATCAAAATGCGCTCCTACCTTGCCAGATTGCATCTGTGAACTATAGAGTGCTTGTGTATACCTTGCCACATTGCTAAGTTCCTTCCTGTAGATTGACTGCACTAAATTGAAGTCTAATTTAGGCTCCGTTCGTTTGGCGGAAAATATTCTCCTTTTGGAAAATATTTTCTCGGAAGTCATTTTCCTGGAAAATGTTTTCCCGGAACATAATTTTCCGGTGTTCGGCAACCAATATGAAAAAGTTTCGGAAAATATTTTTCGCCGGCGGTGGCCGCCGGCGACCGGCGGCGGCGGCGGCGACCGGCGACCGGCGGCGGCGGTGGCCGGCGACCTTAGTGAAGAAGAAGAAGAAGAAGCTCCGGAAAATGATTTCCGCTTTTGAAGAAGCGGAAGTCATTTTCCATAAACTTAGGCTATTTTGTGAGGGGGGGAAGGAAAATATTTTCCCACGGAAAACGTTTTTCGCCCCCCGAACACCGGAAAACCCGGAAAATATTTTCCGGGAGAATATTTTCCGCCAAACGAACGGAGCCTTAGCCAATCGTAGCAAAGATGGCATCATGTCTTGTTGTTTCTCGTACATGTCAATGAACCACCGAGCCTCCACCCTATTTGGCCTCCAGTGGATCGGCATATCCAATGCATGACTCACGTTACTCGCTGAATTGGTGGGAACTTTGTCGAGGTTTAGATCCTTCAGATGCTTAGAAGCAAAGTTCCAAGCTTCATCAAGTATGGTTTCACCTTCCAATCCATGGACAGAAGCTTCATAAAGACCAAGAACCCCCTTCACATCCCTTTTGAGCGATTCGTTGAATGTGCCTGTCTCGTTCATAAACCTTTGAAGCACATCTATATGTCCAAAAAAAGGAATGGTAAGGTAAATTTTGGTGCATCAACATGATTTAAAGAGGTTAACTAGTTGGTGACTACCTTGCTGTACGTTGTATCCATGTTGTCTGAGTAGCCGGAATCGAAGGGAAGCGGGATAGAGATCATCTGAAAGCTGAGCATCTTCGATGTTGTTATGGATGGAACCAAGAGCGTTCTTGATCTCTGTCTCGAAATGATATCCTAGTCCCAGTCTTTGAACCCCGTCAACGAGCTCGAGTTTTGCCACCTGATTCATCTCCCGGTCGAATAGACCCTTGACTTCTTCCTTCAACCTTCGGACTTGCTCCGTATATATATCCTCCTAGGCACATGAAAAGCTCAGCAAAATGAGATCTTAATCAAAGTCAATACACAAGCAGACTTCAATATTGCCTCCCGTATGGAAACAGTTCGATTCTCACTTTATTTGCAAAAACATTTGAGTAGGCACGGTTGAGCTCGTGTCTATATATTGAGAATATGCTATTTCGACCAGGTTTATTAATAGGTTTATTAATGTCTCCAATAGAATGTTGATGGGGTTGGTCGTGTATTTGATAGAGTGGCAGTGGATGAATGTGTAAATTGATGTTTCATATCTCGAACGTCGTATATAAATTATATACAGAAGTACATAAGAAGTAAACATCCATATATCTAATTCAAAGGACGAATTTTATTTTGGTTGTGTCTTTTTTGTATTGGTGGACTCATCCCATTAAAGTACATAAAAATAGGGAAAAAGTGTACATTTGGTTGCTTTACTCAGGTTATTTTTGTAGTCAACGTGGTCATTGAACTTAAAATTTGCACAATCAAGCTCTTGAACTTAGAGAATTTCTGTTCGACCAAAAAAAATAAACTTCGAGAATTTCTATCCTTCTGTGCTGAAAAAAAGAAGAAAATCATTACCGTGTAATCAACACCGAGTGATTGCACAAAATCATAGTCCCAAACGCTCGGTTTCCAATTCGCCGAACGTCTCGCAATCTCTTGATCTTCAATCTTCAAACCGCATGTCGCGAATCGAGGGCCGGAGGACACAGCGGAGGAGGAAGAGGAGGAGGGTTGGCTATGGTGAATTGAGGAGGGAAGGAAGCTTGCGACCAAAGAAGGAAGAGCCATTGCGAAATCTGTTGCCAGACTCTGAGTGTGCTAACCATCCATTATATAGGTGTGCTGCGGTGCATCCATAATGAAAAAAGTTTGTAGCTGCTTTGGGAGCAAATTTTTCTACTTACTCGGGCCATCCTCTAAGCATTGCACTTTATTGTTTCTACATGCACAGAGTCATACTGACCCTGTTAGTACGACCCCCTCATGGCCGAGAAAATATTGGGTGCCACTAGGGATTCCAGCGTGGAGAAATAACAACTCTGACGTGGCAACACGTGTCCGAGAGGACCCACATGTCAGGAAGGCTCTCCCACGGCGCTGAGCTGAGCTGAACTGAGCTGAGCTGAAGCTGGGAGAAATTTTTTTTAAAAACAGCCCTCTCTCTCCACACTCACTCTCTCTCTTTCGCGCTCCCCATCTGCTCTCCGCTCTGCGCTCCGTCTCCCTCACCCGCTTAGGCACCCCATCCACGAACGACGCTTCGCTCCCATCCCATCCTACGCTTCTTGCTGGCCACTCGCCGCGCTTCCTTCGCCGCTCGTCGCTCGCCGCCTTGGCCGCTTGCCGCGCTTCACCGCCGCTCGCCGCGCCTCGCCGCCCGTCGCTCGCCGTGCCTCGCCGCCCGTCGCTCTCCGCCCTTCACCGCTCGTCGCTCGCTCGTCGTCTTCGTCCCCCTTATCCTCATCTTCACCACAGGGAGGAAGAACTTACTTCAAGCGCTAGGGTTTCGGCATGTTCACGAAGGTAATGTATTCGTTCGGATTTTCATGATTTTTCTTGGGGGTTTTTGTGTTTGTGTCTGCTCGTTGCCCTGCCACCATAAGTTTTATGATAGTTTCTGAAAATAGCTGAGAGGGTTGATTGTGGTAGAACAGAGGGTGGTTCATGGCTGCATCTTGAGTACTGCATCTTGTGGGTTTTTCGTTGACGTGGTATGAGCTATACACATGTTACGCGACTTAAGCCAGATTCAGGGGAAGCTCAATTGATTGACCCATCTGCCTGTGACTTCATGTGTGATTAGATGCTATGCTTATTTGGTGCATCTTCTTGTCTGCATACTATGTTTCATCCTATCCAGTGCTGGGTTATTAGTCTAATGTCTTTTCTAAGACTAGATGAATTCGGTCACTGCACCGAGAAGATTTTAGGATTGACCTTTTCACAATATGTTCTGTCTAGAAGAAAATAAACTGGTGAAATCTACCTTATGCTGTATTACTATTATCAGGAGTATGCTCGTTTGACGTACGAGGAACTTAAAATTCTCACGTTAGCATCTCGTCTGATATAATCACCTGTCATTTATGTGACCATACTGCTTAATGTTATAAAAAAGATCTACTAATAAAGGAAAATGTTCAATGCTTTAGTTGGACAATACTGCTGCAAAACTTTGCTGATTTTAGAGGAGTTGGTTCTTCAATAGTTGAGGAATTGTACATTTTAATGATAGCACCTGATGTGAGATAATTGCCATACAAATATGCAAGCAAACACTGCCAAATTTCGGTTGTCAAAGAGAGTTGCAAAGAAAATCAAGTTTTGCTATTTTAGACTCTTTTGTTCAAGGGTATTGCTGTTAGACTGTGCTGGCTTTGGCTCTTTCGTGTATTACAATTTCCAAATAAATTCGCATCCATTTTTTCAGGACCACTGGAAAGAGCCACACATGTATAGGATTGTTTGATTTTTAATTATTCCAAGAATGACATGCTTCCATAATTAAGGTATTGTGTAAGAAAGGAAGTTGTCAAGAAAGTAAGTGCTTAGCAAATTTTGTATTGTCATTAAGTTCATCAAGTCCTCACGACATGGAAATAGAATACACATCCTGTTCGTTTGGTTACTGGATGATCTAATGCTTGTCGAAAATATGCGTAAGAAGCGAAAGTGCGTAAGAAGCATTATCCTTCTTCCAATGGGATAAACAATTGTGGATCAAAAAGAGTAAATTAGAAGACAGAGCACGCAGCGAGTATGCAAGGGGGTCTCCTTCATAATTGAATGATTCTCTTGAAGTCTCTATACTCACTTTATAAATGACCTAGCAAATTAAGGTTTTGCGCTGTAGTTAATGAAAATTTTGTATTTATTTGGCATGGCGCTTGAACTAATAATTACAAGGAGATTGAAAATCTGACTTATTTAATTATGTTTGTTGGGATACAGGGCGGACAGTTGGCTGCTATAAATCTTGTATCTCGTGCGGCCTTGCTTGCTGCAAAGAAGGTGATGACATTTGAATTTGCAGACACACTAGAAAGTTATCATAGTGCAACAACGCATGGTCATTTACTCCATAGATATTTTATCAAATGCGAACTCATGATTATGTTTTTGCGTGATTGGTTTTGGCAAATACTAGCAAGGCACGTAGCAATAGAAATTTTACTTTCGGCTGGTAAAAGAGAATTTATGTATAGGTTGTTAACTGTGCTTGTAGTACTGCATCGACTATTTGGAAAGAGTTGGTTTCTTCCACTGACCATAAATCATCGAAGGTTATGCGTGTAAACAATAGCTCACCAAGGAGGTATTACTCGATGTAATTCACATCGTGTTATGAGAGTGAGCTTGCTTTTGTTACTATCTGGGTCTTTGTTAAAGTAAAATAAGGAAGGAAGTTTTCTTTTTTCGGGGTCTAGTACAGAAGATGAGCTACATTATGTTTAGTGGTGTGAGTGTGTTGAGGTTGTTCTATTCTGTGTTTGCCTCAGGACTCTGAAGAAGAATGGTTTTTCCAGGTTCTGCTCTTGTTGGGTTCCTTTGCCTGACGTGGAGTTGAAGTGTATTGCTTGGTGGGTGTTTGTTTACCCGCGATTTGAGGTTGAGCTTGGATTTACAAATTACAAAATAGGTGGATTTGAGGTTGAGCTCCGATTTGCCTAGGCGTTGACTCCCACTTAGCCGACACTAACGCCGCCTCCGACGAGCAAGGTCCTCCGCTGCCCACGAGCAACGTCCGTCACCTCCCACGAGCGAGGTATATTTTAGATCGTGATGTCTTTTTTCCTCATGTATATTTTCATTCACGACATTTAGTTGACATGAGTGTGCTTGTCAAAGGGCTTCTCAGTAGTACAGGTTGGGATGAGCTTGTTTATGTTTGGCAACATGGGACTGATCCTAGAGCTCCTTCAATTAGTATAAAAATTTCATTTTTTGGGGTCCCCTCATTGAGCTGTGTCAACTTGGGATCAGGATTCTGAATGGCCAAATTTGAAAGTGTAATTGTCGTTCTGCGGTTTATCTTGGTAAATGACTCGCAAATAATTAGACTGTAAGTTAGATTCAATAAAGCAGGGAAAATTTCTATTTGCATTATCAGAATGGTGAGTTTGCACTTGTTATGTTCACCTTGTATGGTATAGCATTAGTGATGGTTCTCCTGTGTTTGTTTATTGCTGTGATTGTTTAAACTGAGCTTTCTAGTCTTATTATAAGGATCTAGTTGCTGTTTCTGTTGCTGTAGTGAAATTTGTGTCTCGATTATGAATTTTCCGTGTTGCTCGGTTTGATCAGGGAAAGACCATGTAGTTGCCTCTTCTTTGTCATGCAAGGATGAGGTTGACTTTCAATATTATAGTTCCTTTGTTTGGTTAGTGCAGCATTCTTTGATACTTCTCACTTTATGGTCACTCTTTCCAACCTGTAAATCACCTGTTCCGAGCGTGGGAGTTCCAACTTCTTTGACAAAATAGTTCTGGTGCTTGTCTCAAAACATTGTTTCTTTGTTAATTGTGTTTTCTGAGCATTTGAAATGATTTGAAAGTGTCATTTTAATGCCTCTCTCTGAGGTGCATATTATCCCATCAAATAAAAGAAGTATTTTTGTTAGTGTGTGAAAGATCGTGAGTTAGTATAGAGTAGATGTCTCGACATTCCTGTCAATAAGTCGGCATGGACTGAGCCGCCGATAACTAGTACTTATTTATACTTTCTTGGTGCCGAATGGATCAATATTTGCCCCTTAGCTTGCTGCTTGCCTTGTGTTTGAAAAAATGCCTAAGCCAAATCTGTTGAGTGTTTGAGGTTTTGACGTTGCTAGATCGAATGGACCGAATGAATAGGGTAGTGCTAGCGTAACTCGATACATCACAATGAATGACGTGCTGTACTTTATCTGGTGGCTTCCGAATGAATGGTGTGTTGCGGCTAGAATTTGTTGTTGTGGGGGGGGGGGTGGCCAGATGTTCATTAAAATTCCCCAGAGAAAATTGAGTTGAATGTCTCACCGGATAATCATCTTTTGTGAATGTGTACTAGAGATGACGACAGTATATTAGAGATGATGTGGAGAGGACCTTGAACGAGTGGACTAATTCTGTACCTGCACTGGTGTTGCATAGGGTCCTGCTTCATTCATGGTTGAACATAATTTGTGAGAGTGCTTTTCCTGCTTTATAATGGTGTGTGATGACGTACTGCTAGTTTGGTGCATCAACTAGACTCTATATCTAATTGTGAATCGCATTGAAACAAATTTTTTTTCCATTTGAGCAGTTCATGGTAGTTTTGTCCGGAGAATTCTGTGGTCTCCTAATGAAAATGCGCCCTCACTTGAGTGCGTATGCTTGAAAAATTCCTTGTTTTACTTGGTTATCCATCAAAACACTTGGGTAAGAATAGTCCTCCTTACTTTTTTGGAATATGACTTCCACTTTTTAAATTAGGAAGTTGTTTTCCTTAGTTTTGAACTTGGCAGTATCGCATGAATTGTCACTCGCTGTTCAGTGTTTGAGCTCCTTAGAATGAATGGTAGTGCATCACATTTCAGCCCCTTGCATTAAATCGATGTCACCCTTCATGCTCATTTTATCATGATGGCAATTTTTTCGGATACTGTCATCTCTAACTTTACATATACGGTAGTGGCTTGCTCATGTACATAAATTTTCCATGGATGACAACCTCCATTTGAAAAAAAAAAAAAAGCCCAGCTGTGTTGCATATATGTATCGTGCGTGCGTAGTTTCTATATTATAGTTTTGGATGTCTTTTCTGATAATGAACTCCACATTCTAGTTTTCTGAGCATATACATGAGTATGGACATCCGTAACAATTGATATACATCTATTTCTCGTCAAGTAGGGTCATTACTGAACTTAAACCTGCTGGAATTATCTTTCAAGCTTGCTGGTTGGGACTGTTTTAGTGTCATTTTAATCCCAATTTGGTATCAATTTGGGTGCAAATTTATCGGATGGCTGAATCAGAGGTAATTATTTGCTCATACTATGTGAAATATATTTTTCTTAAACCACCGCGTTGATAACTTTTTGTTCTTTTAGTTGCAGCATGAAACTTCCCATCTTGCACACGTAATGCGTGATATGGAAAAAGATTATGAGTTTGCGGTAGGAATGGTTTTTCCAAATGAACTTGAAGCATACGATAAGTATGTGGCCTATGCAATCGGCAAAGGATTTGGGGTGAGAAAGGGTAATATGTTCAAAAATGGTAAAGGAGAATTAACCCGACGAACTTTTGTGTGCCATTGTGAGGGGCATTCTGTCAGCTCATCTGATCAAGAAAAGAAATTTGAGAGGTATGAAGTTAGATATGGCTGTCCTGCTCGTATCAAATTTAAGGTTAACAATGGTGTCTATGAAGTCATGAAGCATATTTCTGAGCATAATCATGCATTTATTCCGGATGATCAAAAGCATTTGATTAGATGTGGAAGAATCATGTCTGATACTTCTAAGAGTGTCTTAGTTGACATGAGGAAAGCCGGCATTGGAGGGACTACAGCGTATAAGTTTTTAGCAAATGAAGCTGGAGGAAGCAAAAACTTGGGTTTTAACTTGCGTGATTGTCAAAATTATTTGCAAACGAAAAGATCCGATGGTATAAGTGGGGGAGATGGTCAAAGTGTTCTAAATCATTTTCATCTCATGCAAATGCAAAATCCAATGTTTTCATATGATGTATAGGTAGATCAAGATGGTAGATTGACAAATTTATTTTGGAGAGATAGCATGTTGAAATTTGATTATGATTGCTTGGTGATGTTCTAGTGTTTGATACCATGTATCGTACCAACAAATATAACATGATATGTGCACCATTTATTGGGATTAATCACCATTGGAAGAATGTTTTTGTTCGGTTGTGCATTTTTGTTGGACGAGACTGCAGAATCATTTATATGGTTATTTGAGGCTTTTTTGAAGTCTATGGGAAATAAGGCACCGAAAACCATATTCACTGATCAAGACCAAGCCATGGCAAAAGCCATTAGAACGGTATTTCTGAATACACAACACCGTTTATGTACTTGGCACATCGGGAAAAATGCCAACCAAAACATCCCACATCTTTACCATAAGCCGGGTTTTAAGGATACATATTTCTTAGCGCTTATGTATAGATGTACATCGGAGGAAGAATTTGAATTTACTTGGAGGGAAATGGAAAAGGAGTGGGATACTGCGAATAACACTTGGCTTCGGAGATTATACGACATTAGACACAAATGGGGTTTAGCTTTTGGTCGTGACATTTTTACATGTATAAGATCTAGTCAATGGAGGGAGAGCACCAATAATGTCTTCCAACGAATGTCGACGAAGACATTGACTCTTGTAGAGTTTGTCCACCACTATGAAGAACAAGTGAAGCACATGAGAAATTGAAACTCAAGATGATTTCAGTAGTCGAGGGAATCCCAAATTGGCAATTTTGGGTAATGACATCTTGACGCATGCTTCATGTCACACCTCGAACCCCACGATGCGCAACATCCCTCGCAAAGGTCGAATTTGCTGCGACGTCCCAGGCCGCGTCGCCGACCCAACTCCCAACACAGAGCATAAGGCACATGCGGAAGCGATAATTAAAACACCCGTACAAAGCAATACATGACCAAGGGTAGCAGGAACGTCGAACAATTCAAAGCCTAATAATCAAGACTTGCATTGAACTTCAAAACATAGACAATGTCCACTATACACCAATACAAGTCGCCAAACAAAAGCGGGTCGACGGCTACTACTAACAAAATCCCTAAGTGGCTAAGGGGGCAGTCTAAGGTGGGGCTATAATCAAAAGGGGTTACTGGCCCGACCTAAGGGAGGCTAAGGCTGATCCTAGGAAACTTAATCTGGATCAGATCCTGATAACTCGGACTCAGCCTCAATTATTTCATCCTCTGAATCCATCTGCTCGACCTCGCCAACCTGTTCGGGTTCCTGCTTTATGGGCTCCGGATTCTCATATGGATCGGGTACACCAGGCAACCTCTATCAGGAGTCTGAAAAACGGGGTTTAAACAACTATGAGACGAATCTCAGTGAGTAGGCCTCCTAAATCGAAATTAGGTTAACATGCACCTCCCGACAAGCAAATCAACACAACAACGGACAATAATGTCAATCAAATGACCTAGGCTCTTGAGTCCGGTTCGCTTACCTTGCTGACCCTGCAGGTTAAACAGTTCGACATAAAAATCACGGCACATACGTGGCACACATTTTCACACGTACGCCATACGCATGCTCATACTCGAAGTGTTCATCTCGCATGCCATTCACCGAGTCTTGCACACTCGCACACTGGCCCATGCATTCTTATGCATGCAAATGTCATCATCATGCCATGTTTCGTTCTGGCTCACACTGCACACTGGCATACGGCTCATTTTTAATTAGAAATCGACCCGAAGGTCACGGCCCGAAGGCTCACAACACTCCACGGCCAGCGTAAAAACGCCCCAGGCCCAGTGTCTCTAGCCTGCTACAAAGTGCATGAGGCGCAATACCGATCTCCTTACGAACCAGAGCCTGCTACAAAGTGCATGAGGTTGGTCGTCTTTCGGACATACCGGGCATCGTCCTGCTACAAAGTGCATGAGGACGGCACGACCCGAAGGCCAATAAGTGATAACATGGCACACTGCCAATTTTTATCTGAACCCCGCGTAAAACGCATCAGGGTATAATTAGGTGATCACATGCTCATGGCAGACACGCATTCTCGCACAATTTCGTCACATGCCTCACACTAGGCATACACAATGCGTGGCCATGCAATGTCGTATAATGCAATATGAGCATTCAATTTCAGCACGGCATTTCAACAAACATGCCAAATCAACGTGCTCAAATAGCCAATCAATTGCCCATACTTATTCGCATAACATGCGCACTTGGCCAACTAGTACCATGTGGCCCAAAACATAATTTACGCACTTGGGCAATAAACATTCACACCAATGATTGGCCAAACACACACCGCATTGCTCGAACACGAAATCAGGCGGCATGGCATTAAACAACTGAGCACGACAAAGTACCATTCAACCACCGAGTCGCTCAAACGAGGCACCACAAAATTTAACACAATCAAGCACAATTTGTACCCAAATCAACCACTAATCAGTCCGAGAGAGAGAAAAACTGGAAATATGCAAAATCGGGTCCAAACTGGGCAGTTGCACAGTGACAGAAATCCATTTGAAATAAATGGTAAATCAATTCTAAAAATTATGAAATTTGGATATGTTGTACAAAACATCTCGATGAACATTTTCCGTGGAGAACTAGAAACCCAGTTCTAACCGTAAACACCTCGTTTTGACACTCCAAGTCGGACAAAATCCGATTCGCTCGGACAGCCCGTCAGGCCAGAAAAATACAACTCATTCAGTACCCAAATCATTTTGGAAAGCCTTGAAATTTTTATATGTTATAACCACAAATGTCCCCAATAATTTTTGAAAAGGAAGTATTTTGAAAATAGGCCTGGAAAAATTTATAAAAAATTCGAACAGACCAGAAGGTCGGGTGAACAGTAAATCGGGCAGTTTTGTTTCGGTCCAAAGATGGACTTCCGAATGGCCTCAAATGATTTTCAAAAATTCCCAAATTAAATTATGTTATACTTAAAGATGTTGGGAACAACTTTCATGAAAAACACTTCTTCACATTCGGCCCACAATGATCACAATAAAAATAACAAAGTGCAGAGGTACAGTAAAATTAGTAATCCGAGAATCAGTAACTTGCACCATTAAGCAAATCCAACTCATACAACCTCTAAATCAAGTCTCCACAGCCTTAAAACCATCCTTAAACCATCACCTTATGCCCTTAAAATCACCACAACATCAGCCCAAATCAGCCCCCACCAATTACCCCTAAAACTTGTCCAAAGTGCACATAATCCTAATTAAGGGTTAGGATTTCCACTCACCTATTTACACTCCCCAAAATTCTAATCGACGGGAACGGGCGGCCGATTGCCGGTAAACGGCGAAATCGGCGGCGGCGTTCCGGCGGCTCACGGTAGAGGTTCTGGTCAGTGAGGGTGGTGGCGGCGAACGGCGCTCCTCTCGCGCGCGACGGCACTCCGACGAGCGGCTCCTCTGGCGGGGGCCTCTCACGGCCAAACCAAGAGGAAAATGAAAGAGAAGAAGTGGCGTGGGAGGGGAGATGATCGGCTGATGGGGGAAGAAATGGGAGGAGAGAGAGAGAGTCAAAGGGGTCTTATGGGTCAAAAAGTGGCGCCACGTGTCGCAATCCGGTGCGTTGGACCATTTTGCCATTTGATCCAATGGCCATTAATCACTCTCATCCAATAATTGAGGGCCCTTTTGGTCATTCAAAAATTCTGAATTTTTGACTCATAATTATCCACAATAAATTCCCAAAAATTGCCAAAATTCGGAACCCAAAAATGGGCCATAAGGGCAAAACGGTAATTTTCCAGTCCCGGGTCGAAATTTCATTTTTCGACCGTATCGATCCCAAATGTGTGTGGCCAACATAATATGATGTCGGATTCGCAAAAATAACCTTTTAAGCCCTCGAAAATCGATTGCAAAGTTTGGAGGGGCAAAATAGTAATTTTTACACTTCTGGGCCGAAATTTCAATTTTCGACCGTAACTACTCTAGATATGCGTGGCCACCCTAAAACGGCATCGGTCTCGAAAAATAATCTCATATGGCCTCGAAAATCGACGTCGGAGTCCAAGGGTAAAATCGTAATTTTTCTAATTTCGGCCGAAATTCCAATTTTCAGCTGGACTAGCCCCAAATGTATGTGGCCACACCAAAACGACGTTGGCCTTGCAAAATAGTCGTAAACACCCATAGAATTTCGACATCGAAGTTCGGGTCCAATTTGGCGATCAAAATTGCTCAATTCAGAATTTTAGAGTCTCTTACTGACGGGTGGCTATTTAGGGGTTACGCGTATCGACCTAGGGTCACTCGAGTTGTGACGATCTCGATTACCGGGATAGCGCAAGGAATTATTGATTATTCCAGGGGTCACGATCGTTCGGTTCAGGTTCGGGATTTATTTGCCATGCGCACTCTCGGTCCAGCGGAATCACCCGTGATCCGATCGTACGTCGTTGGCCAAACCAGATCCGTCACCTTCCTAGAATCGGTCCACACTGGCCCAAAATACTTCCCTGTTGTTTCTCGGAATCGGCGCCCGATTCGCGATCGGGTCCCCGATCCACGTACTGTTTTCCTAGTTAGCCTTTCCCATTGGTCAGTATCCCGCGAGGGGCCAGCTTCGAGCGAGACGTACTAAAATCAAATGAGAAATAATATCCACTTCATCGGATCCCGGAAATAGGTCGAAATTCAGGATGTTACACTTCAAAAGTGTATACCCGTACCATTTTTAAACAGTTTAATGATGAATTCATGCAAAGTGTCTCTCAATGTATTTCAAGTGAAGCATTTGATGGATCGGTTTATATTTTTACTGTCAAGTTAAATGGGAAGTTAAATGGGAGTGGAAATGTTGTCAAATTTGACCCTGCAGACTCTTCAGTTTCTTGTGATTGCAAATTATTTGAATTAAAAGGGGGTGGTTGTGTTGCCATGCGTTGAAAGTGTTGAGTGAGAAATAATCGGTTATGGGTGTTCCATCTCCCTATATTTTGAAAAGATGGACTAAGGGTGCCAAACAAGTGATTGTGAATGATGAATCTTATGAAATGGCACCGGGTTCATCTAAATTTAATCGATTTTCCACGTTAATGCATCAATCCTTTGAAATGATGAGTTTAGGAGCCGAAGATGCTGATACTATGAGAATAGTGAAGGAGGACATGGAAAAAACGAAGGCTAAACTTTTATCACATAAATCGAGTATGGTTGTGACTGATGATGCTGGTAATGATGATGATAATGAGGCTTCTGTGTGCAAGATTTCGGCATTGGACCCGCATCGAAGGAAAGCAAAGGGAATAAGTTATGGGAGGCTTAAAAGCTCAAGTGAGAAAAAGAAGAAAAAATCTAAGGAACGAGCACCTCCAACACGAATAGAAAGTCGAGGTGAGTGGCATATTATTCTACTTAATATGATTAGTTAAATTTATTGCTTATGTCACATGATGCCAATAACATATTTATTACTTTGTAATGTAGAGTTGGTTGTTCAAGCAACACAAGATGGAGCTCATTTCCCAGATTATTTGCATAATTCAAATCAGTTTCAAAGTGCCTTTTATCCTAGCAATATTGGTGGTCCTAGAGTAAATCTAAATTTTCATAATCAGGTATATTGCTCGTAGTCTTTCAGTTGTATTTACATTTTACTAATTTGGTCAAATTTTTTTTGTGGATGTAGCAGCCACCATACATCATGCCGCCGGAGATTATGAGTGGATTTTGCCCATTCCCCAGTCAGGTATTTAATAGCTGAACTTATCGGATACATGAATGAGAATAATCTTGCAAAACAAATTAGTAGTGACAAATTTATTATATGTAGATGCAATCACAATACACCATGCCGCTAGGGATTATGAATGGAATTTCCCCATTCACTAGTCAGGTGCTTATTATGAAATCATTTTAGATCCTAGTGTTATTTCACCTTATTATTACCATTGTAATATTTATTGTTAATGGTTTCTTCTGCATAGATGTTGGAGTATCATAATAGATCTCATGGAACCATTTTGAGTCAGGTACAACTTGCTTTTTTTTATTCAACACTTATTTGAGACATTTATCTTGGCATTTGTTTAGTAAAATGTAAATAAATTGGTTATTCCTTTGTGCAGGGGTCATCAAACTCTTTTCAGCATCCTAGGGTGAATGAGTTGAACGACTCTGAAGGAACATAAATCAATTGGCTGAAGTAACTCATAATTTTGTCTCTCTCTAGGAGGAGGAGGAGGAGGAGGAACTCTCCCTCTCTTTTATGTACAGGCTTGAATTTATAGCTTGTTGTGGATGAGCTCGACTTCGATTCCCGCCACTTCTCGTCAAGAAGAGGTAAAAGAGCTTGACCTTGAAATTTGAAGCAGTTACCTTCGGGTTGGTAATAGGGGTCATCTAAATTATTAATGTTACGGGAGTTGTTATTGTGATATTTTCCTTTTTGTGAACGAACATCACTTCGTTGTAGACATTTGGATGATTTGTCCTTGCTGTTAACTCTGAATGTTTGAAACATTTCCATGGCTGATTGAAGAGAGACTTCTCTTTGGACATGTAATGTCCATCTCCATTATCATTGGACAATATGCAGCTGTGGATCTACTTTTGTTAATTTATATGTAATTGCAGGACACTATTCTGTAGCTGGAGTTCCAAGGTGTGAGAAAGCAACTAAAAGTACAAGTTTGTAAATCTTAAAGTCTTCAGAAATTTTGGTATTTGGACTTTTTCAGACTTGACATGTATGTACACCAAGGCCAGTTGCATCAAGGCTTGCTGCAGATACCCATCTGCTTACTGGTCAGGTAACAGATTGAAAGTTTCATTCCAGATCGTGATGTCTTTTTTCCTTTCGCATATTTTCATTCATGACATTTTCAAATTCATGGGGGCAGAGCGAGTAAGACTTTTGCGCTGATGTTGAACTTTTGTTCAGCTTGCTTATGTCGAGGGAGGAGGGGATGAATGAAAGTTGCTTCCTTTATCAGCGGAATAGAGCTAAACTATTTTTTTTTTCTGATTTGTTTGTAAATTTTGAAATACTCAACTTTCTGAAGTTGATTGCAAATATCCGTTGTTTCCATCTGCTAGAGTTCAAGTGCAGTCATCTGCTTACAATGTTATTTAACTCTGTCGAACTGAAAAGTGGTGGCCATGAGACCAAATGACTGGACGATGTTGCAAAGAGTTAAGATGAGTAACATTAAGCTCTCATTATTGCAGCACTCACTGTCAAATGCAATTCAATCACAAGATCCATAATTGGTTGCTCTGGCTTAGGCTAAGATATTCTTGTATTATATCTCAGATAGAAAACCTCCTTTCTTGGATGGAAGAGTAGTTTTTACTGAACAAGCTGAGCCTATAATGCCGCTCAAAGATCCGACGTCAGATATGGCTATAATCTCAAGAAAAGGTTCTCCTCTGCTCAAGGAGATTCATGAAAAACAGAGTATGAATAAATCGCGCCACCGCTTTTGGGAGCTTGCTGGCTCAAAACTTGGAGATATTCTTGGTGTTGAGAAATCATAAGCCGATGTCATGTGTTTTGCAAGTTTGAATGACGGTGTCCTCTCTCTCTCTCTCTCTCTCTCTCTCTATTTTCAGATTTAGGGTTTAAATTCAGAATTTTGGGAAATTTTTCGCTACGAAGTCCGATTTTTGAGTTGTTGAGCTGCGCATTTTTATAGAATTGGTAGTTTAGGGTGTCGTGGAGCTGTGGGATTTTACGGATCTTGATTTGGACTTACCGTTTACCCGAAAACGAATTTTTAAAGTTTTCCGCGCGAAGTGAACAGTGCACGTCCGGCAGCCTTCAGGCCATATTTCTCTGCGAAATCCGATTTGTGAGTCGTTGAGCTGCGCATTTTTGTAGAATTGGTAGTTTAGGGTGTTGTGGAGCCGTGGGATTTTACAGATCTTGATTTGGACTTACCGTTTCCCCGAAACAAATTTTTGAAATTTTCCGCGCGAAGTGAACAGTGCACGTCCGGCAGCCTTCAGGCCATATTTCGCTGCGAAATCCGATTTGTGAGTCGTTGAGCTGTGCATTTTTATAGAATTGGTAGTTTAGGGTGTCGTGGAGCCGTGAGATTTTACCGATCTTGATTTGGACTTACTGTTTGCCCGAAACAAATTTTTGAAATTTTCCGCGCGAAGCGAATAGTGCACGTCCGGCAGCCTTCAGGCCATATTTTGCTGCGAAATCCTATTCTTCAGTCATTGAGCTGTGCATTTTTATAGAATTGGTAGTTTAGGGTGTCGTGGAACCGTGGGATTTTACGGATCTTGATTTGGACTTACCGTTTGCCCGAAACGAATTTTTGAAGTTTTCCGCGCGAAGTGAACACTACACCTCCGGCAGCCTTCAGGACATATTTCACCGCGAAGTTCGATTTTTGAGTCGTTGAGCTGTGTATTTTTTGTAGAATTGGTAGTTTAGGGTGTCGTGAAGCCTTGGGATTTTACGGATCTTGATTCGAACTTACTCTTTGCCCGAAACGAATTTTTGAAGTTTTTCGCGCGAAGCGAACAGTACACGTCCGGCAGCCTTCAGGCCATATTTCGCTGCGAAGTCCGATTTTTTAGTCATTGAGCTGCGCATTTTTATAGAATTGGTAGTTTAGGGTGTCGTAGAGCCGTGGGATTTTACGGATCTTGATTTGGACTTACCGTTTGCCCGAAACAAATTTTTGAAGTTTTCCGCGCGAAGTGAACACTACACCTCCGGCAGCCTTCAGGACATATTTCACCGCGAAGTCCGATGTTTGAGTCGTTGAGCTGTGCATTTTTGTAGATTTGGTAGTTTAGGGTGTCGTGAAGCCTTGGGATTTTACGGATCTTGATTTGAACTTACCGTTTGCCCGAAACGAATTTTTGAAGTTTTCCGCGCAAAGCGAACAGTACACGTCCGGCAGCCTTCAGGCCATATTTCGCTGAGAAGTCCGATTTTTTAGTCATTGAGCTACGCATTTTTATAGAATTGGTAGTTTAGGGTGTCGTGGAGCCATGGGATTTTACTGATCTTGATTTGGACTTACCGTTTGCCCGAAACGAATTTTTGAAGTTTTCCGCGCGAAGTGAACACTACACCTCCAGCAGCCTTCAGGACATATTTCACCGCGAAGTCCGATTTTTGAGTCGTTGAACTGTGCATTTTTGTAGAATTGGTAGTTTAGGGTGTCGTGAAGCCTTGGGATTTTACGGATCTTGATTTGAACTTACCGTTTGCCCGAAACGAATTTTTGAAGTTTTCCGCTCGAAGCGAACAATACACGTCCGGTAGCCTTCAGGCCATATTTCGCTGCGAAGTCCGATTTTTTAGTCATTGAGCTGCGCATTTTTATAGAATTGGTAGTTTAGGGTGTCGTGGAGCCATGGGATTTTACTGATCTTGATTTGGACTTACCGTTTGCCCGAAACGAATTTTTGAAGTTTTCCGCGCGAAGTGAACACTACACCTCCAGCAGCCTTCAGGACATATTTCACCGCGAAGTCCGATTTTTGAGTCGTTGAGCTGTGTATTTTTGTAGAATTGGTAGTTTAGGGTGTCGTGAAGCCTTGGGATTTTACGGATCTTGATTTGAACTTACCGTTTGCCCGAAACGAATTTTTGAAGTTTTCCGCGCGAAGCGAACAGTACACGTCCGGCAGCCTTCAGGCCATATTTCGCTGCAAAGTCTGATTTTTTAGTCATTGAGCTGCGCATTTTTATAGAATTGGTAGTTTAGGGTGTCGTGGAGCCATGGGATTTTACGGATCTTGATTTGGACTTACCGTTTGCCCGAAACGAATTTTTGAAGTTTTACTCGCGAAGCGAACAGTACACGTCCGGTAGCCTTCAGGCCATATTTCGCTGCGAAGTCCGATTTTTGAGTCGTTGAGCTGCGTATTTTTATAGAATTGGTAGTTTAGGGTATCGTGGAGCCATGGGATTTTATGGATCTTGATTTGGACTTACCGTTTGCCCGAAACGAATTTTTGAAGTTTTACGCGCGAAGCGAACAGTACACGTCCGGCAGCCTTAAGGCCATATTTGGCCGCGAAGTTCGATTTTTGAGTCGTTGAGCTGGGAATTTTTATAGAATTGGTAGTTTAGGGTGTCGTGGAGCCGTGGAATTTTACGGATCTTGATTTGGACTTAACGTTTGCCCGAAACGAATTTTTGAAGTTTTACGCGCAAAGTGAACAGTACACGTCCAGCTGCCTTCAGGCCATATTTGGCCGCGAAGTCCGATTTTTGAGTCGTTGAGCTGCGCATTTTTGTAGAATTGATAGTTTAGGGTATCGTGGAGCCGTGGGATTTTACGGATCTTGATTTGGACTTAACGTTTGCTCGAAACGAATTTTTGAAATTTTCCACATGAGATTTTACAGTAATCAGTAAGCTTAGAGTTACAGTAATCAGTAAGCTTAGAGAGAGAGAGAGAGAAAGAGAAAGAGAGAGAGAGTAAATGGCTATAAAGATGCAAAAAAAAAATTCTGTAGACTTAATGCCAAAAGGTCTGCTTGTTTCAAATAATTTCACAAACTTAATTCTGAGCCTTCCTATAGCTTCTGTTTTCCCTAACATTGCTAAGATAAAAATGATGTGCCAAAATCGGCATCAACTCAATAGAACGACATGGAGTCGGAGAAACGCTGTACTAGAGAAAATGTGAGTGAAAAAGAAGAAAAAAAATCTAAGCTAAGACAATGCTTCATACGGTCGACTTCACGTAACTCGCATCAGAGTCTCAATTTGGTCCTCCACATGTCTCCAATGACCATCTTAGGTTGCGGATTATTTGGCCCTCGATCCCGCTACCCCGATGTAAAGTACAACCAGCCGTCACAAAAGCTTGCGATTGCGGTTTTGACGCGGTAAGGAAGCTTACCGATCACCATCCATTTCATACCACAAGCATATAGACGTCGCTATAGACTACCTGAAATAAGAAAGTTCCAAGTTTGAAGAATCAGCTCGAATGAAACATCATATGACACAAGCATGCATCTTTTGATAAGCTAATAAAATCAATGACCAGATGATGAGTAGCATGATCAGCAAAGAATGTATCTAAACATGTGAATGCCCCATTCTACTTGGTTCTGTAAGTAACATGCGAATGCCCCATTCTACTCGAACTAATTATCTCATATCTCAGCTCATATATATCAAAAGATTAACGCAAAATGCTAGAGCTGTCTCAGGAAACCACTGGTCCCAACAAATTGCTGACAAAGATAACAAAGTTGATCAACCTATCATATCTTAACCTTCGGCTTTGACTTATGGAATCAGCCTAAAAATGTTAAAGCTTTGCGGAGTCTACATTGGGACTTCTAGTTGCCATTACCTGCAATAGATCAGCTGCATAGTGGCGACTTCATTGACTTAGAGACCTCCTGCTCGTGATAAAAAAGTGAAGATGCTAATATTCAGTACCCGACTACTAAAAGTAGCATTTTAGCTTACAATATTGCCGGCTTACAATGTAATATGATGTACTCATCTAATCGAACAGTAACCAAATGAAACCACTGCAAGATGCTAACTCACCCAACATCCACGAAGAGGCGGTAGTTATACTCATCTCTTAGCTTCATCAATACGCCGCGAGATCCCGTATACGCGAAAGCGATCATTCATTCTTGTAGTGCCACTTTTTCCATGAGTCATACTAAAAATGATTCAGCAATGAACTTCGTGAACTGATGCTTATGCAACATTTTATATTCAAGGACTTTTTTTTTTATCGTGATATTCAAGGACTTGAGAGAAATAACAAGAGGCAGATATCTGACAAATTTTTCACTACGGAATTTCAGTCACACAGATGAACTTCCGAAAGTTTGGAAGAGTTTTAAGATGAACTGCAAAGAAAGGCAAAAGCAGTTGCTTAATCAACTGAACCTCCGTCTTCAATCTGATGAACATAATGGGTGACAAACGTTTTCACGAGTTATGAAAAAAGAAGCATTCGGTTGCACAGCATAATGAATGTAGAAAATCCTCTTACTGATCTCAGTCGTGCACTACACATCACTAATTCACTGTCATTTCACCTACTTTCACTGCCATAGAACCAAGGATGCAACAAAAGCATATGATAGTCTGAAACTAAAATCTGACTCCATTAAAACAATATGTTTCACCATTTCTAGGAAACAAAATGAACAAGCCAAAGCCATTTAAATGTCATGAATGAAACTGAGATTTAAAGAGAATCTGGATTCTGGTATATGACATCAAAGAACATATCTCTTCCGTAATTACTTCCTCTTCCTCTTCATCCTGTTCACCCTCCTCCTCGCCCTCATTCTTCTCGGGCTCTGGAAATTCCTTATTCTCTAATTGATCCAGTGCAGCCTTTGCCTTCTGGAAATATACAAATATCCTCCGACCAAACAATCCTAGAATGATGAAATACGTCATTGACCATGGAAATCTTCTCTTACCAACGACAAAACAAAATCACCTCATAGCATCCAAGCCGCCTATGCACATAAGGCGCACAAGCCCATCTGACTAAGGTACGGAACCAAACAAGAACGAGCCTTTGTAGCTAAGAAAGAACAGAGCAGCTCGAAACAAAAAACCTAACCACGATCCCAATCCTCCTAACTCCACGTTCGCAAGACTGCGGCATCAAAACGAAACTAATCTGCTCTATCAGATCGCTAAGGCCTTGGTCTTTTCCAAGACAATTAAAAGCTAGGACCTATAATCCAAAATCGAAGACAGACACATCGTAAAACCTCAAAAGAGCTCGAAACACCATCGAACCGAAAGCAACTGCGAGGCTGCGTAATCAGAAAGATATCGAAAGCCAAGCAAGCTTACCTCCTCCGATTCCCTAGTGAACCACGACCTCCATTCCCGAGGTCCGATGCAGCAGCGGAAGAGGACCTAGATCAGCACCACCACCATGGAAGAAACGGATACATCAATTCACCATCCGAAGCTCGGAGCACGAATTCCAGAGGCGAAACGATCTGCAAATCATTCGCTCCGCGCGAGCTGCTTCATCGTGCGTTCAAGAAGGAACTTCAGCGAGGGAGAGAGTGAGTTTGACTGGTGGTGGAGATTGTGAACGAGCTTGGGACCCAGCTGCTCTTGGGCGGGCGGAGGCAACGGCGGAGGTCGGGGCAATAAACCCAACTCCACAAGCTCCTCTTTCTGCTATTATGTCCTCCAATTGTGCAACCTGCTCAAAGGAAAAGTCATCCAAACTATTAAATCCTATGCTTTTTTAAAGACAGAAGCATAAAAACACTAAAGGTGATAAAATGACAAAATTGATCGTTCACAGAAGAATTCCCGGACAGGTATTGATGCTTCATTTTGGACCACTCCTGACGTATCTAATTTAACAGAATATTTGAAGTAACATGAATCCAGACTCGTGAATCTGCCAAAAGTGTAAGAAACCAAGAAACGAAGCATCAATATCCTTTGGGATGGTCTTCTGAATGATGTTATATTCTGGCGCAGCAAGCCAGTCCGTCTCTGGATTGACCTCCCCAAGGACGAGCTAACTCGATAGGAAGGCTTCTAATTAGAGAAATTCACAGTAACCTTCAGCTATAGGAATTTTATAGGACCAAGGCATGAAAGATGTGGCGGAACAGATTGCAAATGCAGCATATGCTGAGGTCTTTCGGTGCTTTGTCCAATCCGACTCAAATTCCATACCAGAACCTCTGCTTTTAGAGAATTCTGTTCTTGCAGATTGAGGCAGAGTATTTTCCAGGCAGATTGATGTGCCACTAAGAGTTTAAGCCCACACTTAAAGGGATGCCCTGCAATTTATTCGGCAACCAGTAAAACCAACTCTTGTTAGTTACTAAATTAAACGAATTTTGTCAATGCAAATTGTTAGTACATTGGTTATAATATGTTCCTGTTAAATCGACTACCAACTATCTGGATACTGTTCACATCTTTGGTTTGCACGTAAGCTGAATTTGAAAATGTCGACCCCTCTGCCCCCATGAGTTCTTTCAGTCCTTGCGCATTATAAACAGAACACAATCCAGCCATAGAGATTCAAAAGTGTTTTCGATATTTCTTCAATGCTAAAGCTTGGCTAAATAAGAGTACTCGAGTCTTAATCACCAAACTCTTTCCGGACAACCCCCAACAACCCCCAAAAGAGAAAAAAACAGCAAGAATTTGATGGAACCATCGAAGTACGAAGGACGCGCCACCTGCATGTAGCTCAAACCGCATATCTCTTCGAAGCAAAAACAAACAGTGGCAGGATTAGGAAGTCAAGAATATTCAAACAGCACAAGCAATCACACGAAGCACATATTCGAAGCAAAAGCAAACGATGGCAGGACTAGGAATTCAACAACATTGAAACAGCAAAAGTAATTACACGAAGAATATGCTCTGAAGCGGCAAAAAACGAAGTTGTAACGAGAGAAAAGCACGAAAGATGATGAAGGGTCGTTACCTCCTCCAATGGAAAATCCCGCGGGCTTGGTTTAGAGGCACGATGCGCTTAGAAAGAAAATGCACGGCCTGCCCACTATTCAGCGTACATTCAGAAGGCGTGAACTCATGAAACCTCAATGAGTTTGGAAATTGAACTCTTGTGGGTTGGCGTCTGAGGCTAGGGCGTCGGCGTCGGGCTTCGTCGGAGGTGTCGTCGGCATCGGCGTCGGCGTCTAGGGCGTCGCTCGTCGAAGGCTAGGGGTCGGCGTTGACGCGAGGAGACGGACCTCGCTCGTCGGAGGCAGCGGACCTCGCTCGTCATAGGCGTCGTCGGCATCGGCGTCGGGCTTCGTCGGAGGCGTCTTCGGCATGGGCGTTGGGGGCTAGGGCGGAGGCGGAGGCTAGGGCGTCGCTCGTCGGAGGCAGCGTCGGCGTCGGCGCGAGGAGACAGACCTCGCTCGTCGGAGGTAGCGGACCTCGCTCGTGGGAGGTGACGGACGTCGCTCGTGGGCAACGGCGAACCTCGCTCGTTGGAGGTGTCAGAGGCTAGGGCGGAGGCGGAGGTTAGGGCGTCACTCGCCGGAGGCGGCCAGGGCGTTGGCGCGAGGAGACAGACCTCGCTCGCCGGAGGTAGCGGACCTCGCTTGTGGGGGCGACGGACGTCGCTCATGGGCAACGGCGAACCTCGCTCGTCGGAGGTGTCAGAGGCTAGGGCGGAGGCGGAGGCTAGGGCGTCACTCGCCGGAGGCGGCTAGGGCGTCGGCGCGAGGAGACAGACCTCGCTCATCGGAGGCAGCGGACCTCGCTCGTGGGAGGCAACGGCTCGTGGGAGGCGACGGACGTCGCTCGTGGGCAGCAGCAGACCTTGCTCGTCGGAGGCGTCGGCATCGGAGGCTAAGGCGGAGGCGGAGGCTAGGGCGTCGCTCGTCGGAGGCGGCGTCGGCGTGGGCGCGGCGAGAGGGAGACAGAGCGCAGGGATAGAGATTGGGAGCGCGAAAGAGAGAGAGAGACTGGAGAGAGAGGGCGCTTGATTTTATTCAAAAATTTTCTCTCTCCAGATCTCTCAGCTCTGTGCTGTGCCGTGGGAGGGGAGAAAATATTGGGTGAGGGAGACGGAGCGCAGAGCAGAGAGCAGATGGGGAGCGCGAAAGAGAGAGAGAGAGAGGGTGTGGAGAGCAGATGGGGAGCGCGAAAGAGAGAGAGGGAGTGTGGAGAGAGAGGGCTGCTTTTAAAAAAAATTTCTCCCAGCTTCAGCTCAGCTCAGCTCAGTGCCGTGGGAGAGCCTTCCTGACATGTGGATCGTCTCGGACACGTGTCGCCACGCCGGAGTTGTTATTTCTCCACGGTGGAATCCCTAGTGGCACCCAATATTTTCTCCGCCTCATGCACGTGTGTTTCTTGGGAACCACGTTTTATTTATTGCACGTTTAAACATGGCTCCGTGGGATAACAATCCTGTGGCCACGAAAAAATGTTTCAAAAGAGGAATCTATGAACCACCAGTTTGCTTGGAAGCCTGTAATTACGATAGGGTGTATAACAACGTTGTCTATAGATCTATCTCCAGAAGGAGTACTTTTTAAGTGACTGCCGATTTGAAAAACTTAACTATTTCAAATTTGGGAGAGCTACATAGGGGAGGAGAGAAATGTGTTGATTATATATCAATGTCATGCTTGAAGAGCGGCACAAAGGTGCTTGTGTTGGAAAGTACCTTGTTCCACATAAATTAAATGGGAGTGTGTTGGCGAATATATAATTGTGAAAGTCTTCTTTTCTTACAAATAAAGACAATAGCTAAATGAACTAGACCCTACTATACCCGCGTGCGGGCGTGCGAATAGTTGCGCGATTTTGGTGAGTGTAGAACAAATTTGGCACTAATCAACGATTATTATTTTTTATTTATTAAAATTCGGATTTATAATTATAAAATAACATTTGTGTCCTATTGAAACAGAGCAAATGTTCGCAATAGAGTTACAATTATTTTGTTTATTATTTAATTCCGAATTTATTATTTCTATCGAACAATTATTAGGTGCTCTTACAACCTTTAAAAGGTTGTATCCGTTCAAACATATTTTTCGCTATTAATTACTCAACATTTTTGCTTAATAGAACAACTTCCATTTTTGTTTCTTTCAAAAGATATATGACCACTGTTTTCTATTGTTTCCCTTTGAGAGTTCTTGGAAAAATACCAGAATTACTATTGGGTATTCTAGCTTGAGACTTGTGTCATGGAGGAATTTGCTAGTAACCGTTAGCAACGTTTTGGGGAAAATAATTCCTTAAAGAGTGTGTTATGACAAAAAAAAAGTCTGCTTTCGTTCGTCTTCTTGATTACTTGATTTTTCCCCAACAACGTCAAGATGTCATTAATAGATGAAACTCTACATATCTAATGCTTGAAAGTATGGTTGTCTTTCAACGTGCATTTTCCCAATTAACATATCTACTCAGGCAATAGTCTTCCAAGCACTAGGAGAAATAATAGGAGATTTTGTAGTAGCTTGATTTGTGAAACTATTTAGAAATTTCTTATATGCTGATTTTATTTCATGTTTAATTGTTTTTTTATTTCATTAGTTCTTTTTCAATATACTATTATTTTTTGTATTTAAGGGAAAAATTGCTAAAAATTGGAGCCCGAGTTGGGTTGAGTACGGGTCAGGTCAAGTTGGGTCGAATATAGATTGCTAAGATTGTATTACATAAAAATAGATCGACATGGATTAATTAGATCAATTTGGATTGCTTCCATTTTTGACCTAACCAAATCCGACCGGACTCCCTCTCTTTGACCGGTGTATTCAGAACTACTAAAAAATCTCTAAGAAAAAGATTTGCAACCTCTAGGTCGGGTGAAAATTGGACTTTGACTATTAGCTTTGACACACTCGCTCACCAAACATTAGAAATTGATCTAGACCACTCCCTTTATCTTTTCTCGAAGATACGCTTTGAGAGGAAGCAAAAGAGAATGATGCATGTTAAATCGAAATTATCCGGTTAATTTAAGTCGTAGGCAGACATAGAGGGGTGCTTGGATATCTCTATTTTCTTGGCATTGAATGAATTGTGAGGGAAGCAATCAAAAACCTGCCAGCGCTTGCTGTGAAAATGAGAAAGAAGAAAGGAAGTGTTGACACAAAAAAAAAAAAATGGACCAACTCTAGATTGGTATCAACGAGTGGCATGCTCAGTCGATAATTAAAAGCAGAAGTCATCAATAAAAAAAAAAACAAACGGAGACCGATTAGGCTCAACGTTAGTGAAGGAAATCGATAACATCATTTATAAAGTCATCACAATATGTAGTGCAAAAATTATCAACGAGAGGCTTCACCAGTCAACAACTTAAAGGAAATTGATTGACAAAATCATCGACCACAGACAATCTCAGATTTTTGGCTAAGTGTTGAGGAAATGATATTAATGAATAAACTAGAGGTTTGCTAATACAACAGTTGAATATGAAGAAAGGTGATTGACTCAAACACATGATTGCCATATGATTATGCATACAATCTAGGGATTTGCATGTTTTTGTGTATAATCATGTCTAGAATCTCAGAGAATGTAAATGTAGATCATGCTAGGAAGTTTGTATAGATTCAAAATCCAAGAACTGCTTGTAAATAACTGCTACAGTGTATTATAAGAGCTCATGTAGTAATCTAACTGCACATAATCAATCAATCTTTGTTTTTTTTTGGTCAGCACCCATAATCAATCAATTTGAACATCTGTTTTTGCTTTTATTTTCGTCTTTAACTATCCTGCAAATTTACCTTCGCAATACCTTTAACTTTCCGGTACCTTTTTTTTTCTTGCAACTTCTGAAGTTCAGTACTCGCAATTTAAATACCTTTAGTTCCATTTACATTCCTTTCCAAAATAAACAAATGACCATTTTTTAATCTTTGTCAATTCAATTCGAATCATCCTGATGCAGCCTGGTGTAGGCTACTCGAACGTTAGGATCGGGAGAGTGACTTGCACACGTGGAACAGGACGAACAGTAATTACAGTCCTGCGCAAGCTCGGGAAAATAGATGTAACTTCGTCGATACAGATCGGAATGACCTGATTCCAAAGCCAAATGAACAAACACTTCTGGATTGACAATTTCTCTGTTTTGAGTTTTCTCAAATAAGCACTATAGGAAGGACGAAATCGGGGTAGAAGTGGACGGATGTAAATAGACAGAACAGAGGAAAAGATAGAACTTCGTTGGTTGCTCTTCCAGGCCTCCAAGGAAGTGGATAGGGCACCGATTCTTCTAGATCGATGACTGCAACTCTTCAAGGATGCAGATTTGAAAACCTCCGACTCTTCAAGGACGGAGTGAAAACTCTTCTAGGTTTTCAGGGGTATGAACTCTTCAAGGTTCAAGATAATCGCTTGATGCAAAAATTTCATTAATCAAATTCGTCTGTCGAATACATAAAGTAGATGGTCTTTTATAGCCAAAGAAAAACAAATGAAAAGACTCAAGCAAATGAAGAGACTAAAGAGCATTAAAGACCCTAGAAAGCATAAAACATTAAAGAACTTAGAAACTATAAACTAGATAAATGCCCAACGTCTTCTTGATCATCCCAAAGTATCTTTTAGGCTTCCAATGTATAGGGAAAGACAAGGACTTTATTGTGGCATGGACTCGCGGATGAGACTCTTGGTCTTCGAATTGCGTCCCTTCGATATCTTCAAGACTGGTCGAGCGACTTGTCGAGCTCGGATGCGGGCTGATCTCCTTGGTCGAGTGAGCTCGTCTTCGATGCGGGCAACATTATCAATCTGGCCTGCATCATCCTCCCCTTCTTTAAAAGAATTTGTCCCCGAATTCATGTCATCATCAGAGGAATCACCAGCATAAGGTGTTAAATGCCGAACGTTGAAAACATCATGTGTTTTCATATGAGAAGGAAGCCTTAAGCGATATGCATTGGGATTGATGCGCTCAAGAACTTCAAGAGGACCAAGCTTTCGATCACTAAGCTTGTTATAGCTTCCAACAGGATGACGCTCTGGTGGCAAGTAAGCCCAAACAAAATCTCCTGGTTCGAAGATAACTTCACGCCGCCGCTTATCGACGTCCTTTTTATAGGACTCTGTCTTGCTTTCTAACCTTTGGCGCACATCTTCATGAATTGCTCTCATCTGAGAAACAATATCTTCAACATTGCCACTCGACTTTTTAGCAAAAGGAATGGGTGCAAGATCAAGAGCAGTGTTCGGCTGTTGTCCATACACGATCATGAAAGGACTATACCCAGTCGTACGATTTACAGCACAATTATATGCAAATTCGCCATGTGACAATCGTGTCTCCCAAGAGCGAGGATCAATCATTGTTCTCAATAGAATTCCCAAGGTTCGATTGACGACTTCAGTTTGCCCATCAGTTTGGGGATGAAACACAGTACTATATTGCAGTTTAGTACCGACATTCTTCCACAATTGTCGCCAAAAATGACTGAGAAACTTTGTGTCCCGATCAGAAGAAGCAACTTCACCTGCTTTGTGAAGTAAAACATATACAATACGAACCCCTTTTAAAGCACCTTTTATATCCTTCATCGAAAGCAATGAAGACTTTTCGACAACAGAAGTTTTTAAAGGCTCCTTACTAGGTGCTAATATAATCTTCTTCCCTCCAAATTCAAAAGAATACGTATTTCGATAACCATCATGAGTAGTCCGCCTATCGAATTGCCATGGTCGCCCAAGAATAACATGACTAGCATCCATTGGTAGAACATCGCACCATATCTTGTCGAAATAAACAGAACCAATGGATAGATTAACAAGGCAGCGTTTGGAAACGGTTATCTCAGTGCCTTTCGATAGCCACGACA